CAAGTGGATGGCTTTAACAAAGAGAAATTTATTTCCTCACAGTTAAAGTAGGCTAAAAGTCCAAATTCAGGGCATCAGCTCCAGGGGAAGCCTTTTTCTCTCTGTCAGCCTTCTTCTCTTCTGTGTTCCCCTGGACTAGGAGCTTCTCTGCGCGGGGACCGTGGTCCAAAGGATGCACTCTGCTCCTGACACTGCTTTCTTGATGGTATAAGGTCCCCCTGTCTCTCTGTTCACTTCTGTCTTTTATATCTCAAGAGATTGCCTCAGGACACAATCCACTCTTGTAGACTGAGTCCTGCCTTACTAACACAACTGCCACCCATCCTCCCTCATTGACATCATAGAGGCAGGATTTACAACACATAGGAAAATCACACAGTACCAGAAATCATGGCCCAGCCAAACTGACACACACATTTTTGGGGGGACATAATTCAAACCATGACAATTGTCAAATCACCTTGTTTGAAGTATAGTAGCAGTTTTTTTATAGGAGCCCTGGTGGTACAGTGGTTAAAGCGCTCGGCTGGTAACCTAAAGGTGGGTGGTTCCAACCCACTAGCTGCTTCTTAGGAGAAAAGATGTGGCAGTCTGCTTCTGTAAAGATTACAGCCTTGGAAACACTGTGGGGCAGTTCTGCTCTGTTCTATAGGGTTGCTATGAGTTGGAATCGACTCGATGGCTCCGGGTTTGGTTTGATTACAAAATCTGGGTAATATAATTTACAAAGTTTTTTTAATGAGATTTTTAAATATTTCTATTTTTAAGAAATATATAGGAATATCCTGCTGTTTCTTAACTAGCTCTTCTGGTTACCATTAAACACTAGTATAAGAGCTAATAAAATGAATTTATTTAAGAACATCTAGTTGCTATTTTTCAAACAAATTGAAGAACTCCACATTTTCAGTTTGCTTTTCGATTTCCCACTTGCTAAACTATTTGCTTTGTAGAAGCCACCTCAAAATTGAAATTGGACAGCTGGATTTCATTCTAAATTTGCATGAATTCAAAGAGGCATGAGCCAGCATGTCCTGAGAAATACCAATATTGAGTTTTCTTAAAAGGACTATGGCAACTGGCCTGAGACCACAGAATAACGGGGTATTTATGACTACCTTTCTTCAATGTGATTACTAATGTTGGAAAAAGTTTTTGTCAGTTAGGTAGCAGAAGAATAGTACTGGGATTTTCCATTTAAGTGAAATAACTGTTGTAATTACTGATGAAAGGGAATCACTGAAGGAAGTAGGTTTGGTGCCATATCAATAAGCATATCCTATGCCCAGGGAAATACCAGCACTTTTCCCCCCATGTGGTGACAGGTTTTCATTTACTGTAAATATCTTAATTTTTTTTTTAATTGTCTCATTATTATTTTAAATGGGTGTTAGGGAAAGGGAATGTTGGAGTAAAATAGTATTCACTGAGCAGGACCAGCCAGTTTGGGAGGAAGAGGCATTTCTAATGGCTGCATAAAACCCCCATAAGTAAATTTCTCATCCTCATTCTTTGCCTTACCTGCAAGCTCCTGCACTCTTTCCGTGCATGTTTGGTGTGTTACAGTGAACTCCCTGTATCAAAAAAAAAAAACACTCAGTGTAAGGAAAATGTTTTTATGGAGAAAAATACCTTGTCCTCTTTGTTTACATTATATCCTTTATGAGGAAAACAGATTCCCACAGACAATGTAAAGTGTCAACATACTGTAACAATAAAGTAGGTTCTGTTTTCAGGAGTCCAATAATACTAATTGATGATGAAAAGTAAACTTTAAAATTCAGATCAAAATCTGGGTTGTGATACTGAGTTGACCAATAGAAAGATTTTGGGTGCCCTTTGTGAAAGTGTTGCCCATTTTCTTACTGCCTTTATTGAGTATTCTGTAGGAGAAAGAATACTAGATAGTAGAAATTAGGATTCTTTGAATTATCTAAAGCATTAATAGTTTATTTTTCTTCTTCACTGATTTTTGGTATTCTTATCTACTCCAATTTGGCCCTCTTTATCATCAGACTCCTAAGAACAATTAAGTTTTAATGTTGTAAAAGAAATATTAAGCTAATGTTTATAAAATCAATCTTTGAAAACCCTCTGGGGTCACCGTGAATAGGAATTGATTGGACTGCAACTTTTTTTTTTAAATGTTTATAAAACATACAGTGATATACATCAACATTGCAAAAATACTTGATCAACCTTCTTTATCACTGAAGATAGAGCTATATTCAAAATCCGGCCAAATCTTTAACTCGTGATTATTTAAAAGTAGAATTCTTAGAAATTCAGTTAAAGTAATGACTAGAAAAGTAAAAAAT